AACACTTTTTTTTTTTAGTTCTACAAATTTGCTAAGTTAAAATAAAAAAATTTTCACACGATTTGATTAGGTAGTTGCCAAGAAATCTTCAAGTTTGAAAAAAGAAAATTTACCCGATTTTTTTAAGATATTCCACTTTTTTAAAACTTTAAGTGGAAATTTCTCGATAACTACCTGACCAAATTTATGAATTAATTTTTATTCTAATTCTACATAACAATAGAATTAAAATAAAAAAAAATTCACTGAATTTAATTAGGAGGTTATTGAGAAACCTTCGCTAGAAGTTAAAAAAAATCATAAATTTTTAGAACGATCCTCAATTAGTACTGTAATTTTATTGGACAATTTCGTCGATCAGTCACGTGCTCGTACTTTTTTACTGGGTACGCTGGGGTAGTTACCACACTTCTCTATTTCTGAGACTATTTCTAACTTTAATCTTAACCTTTTCTCCCATGAACTTGATTATTTAATATATACAATTTCTTCTTATCTATCCTTCTCTCTACGTATGAATTACCTAATTTTGATAGCAATACCAAGCATAGTTCAAACTTATTGATTTTCATTCATGCATAAAAGTATCGGACGAAGAAAAAATTATATGTAGTCCTTTAGTTATAATTGAAATAAAAAATTTATTTAATGATACTTAAAATATAAATACATAGTTCAGTAATTAGTCATAATTTAATTATAAAGATATATGTATATATTAGGATCAGGGATTAGGATTAGGATTAATGTTAATGTTAGGTTTGGGCAAAGTTAGGCTAGGATTAATGCTAGGTTAGAGTTAAGTAGGGGCATGCCTTTTGTTCAGGGCATGCCCCGAACCCTATTTATAATTTTCAATTTGTTCTTTGATATTTTTGATATTTTTTAATTTTTCAAGACGTTTTTTCAAGGTATTTTACTTCGTCATCCGCCTCCAATATTTCGATTAAATCGTTAAGTGCGAAGCTGAGTTTATCATATTGATCTTGCTTCTTCTAAGATAGTAAAAATGAATTTAAAGATTGAATATATTTGATTTAAAAATTAACTTATACTTACATAAATAAATAATTCTCTTCCCTAAGATATTAAAAATAAATTAAGGATCGAAGTACTGTATTATTTAATTTAAAAATCAACCTATACTTACAAAAAGAAATAATCCCACGGTGGTAAAGATGATAAAAATTATGAAAATGTTCTTCCTAAATAAATTGTTTGTTCTTTTGGTTGTTTCGATTTTATCACGTGTTTCTTGTGATTCATAGAGTTCTTTTGGCTTTTGTGATTTATTAGAGCATTCGACTTCGTTATTTATGCAGGCATTGTTAATAGTGGTTGCATTTTCGCCTTTCAGTTCACGCTGTTGATTGCAGTAGTCATGCATCATTTTATTAAATGGAACGTTATCATAAGACTTTCTGCTAATTTTTTTAAGTTTACAAACCTTATCAAACTTTTGTCCAGAGATAGTTTCTTTTGAGTCTTCTTTTAATGGTAATAGCATTTTGTTAGCTGAATCTACATACTGCGTCTTTATACTTTCAATAATTTTTTTTTTTAGATCAGAATTATTGTTGGAATGATTTAATGATATATTCAAGAGTAAATCAGAAAAGAGATTTATTGTTCCATGGTTGTAATGTAGCGCATTGGAATGATCTGGCGGTTCTGTAATTAGATTCAAGAGTAAATCAGAAAAGAATTTTATTGTTCCATGATTGTAATGTAGTGTACTGAAATTATCTGGCGGTTCTGTAATTAGATTCAAGAGTAAATCAGAAAGAATTTTATTGGCCCATGTAATTAAAAATACAGAAATAGTGATAGGGGCGAATTGTTGCAACTTAAACAATATAAAAAGTTACGGAAAACCAATTTTTATTATGAAATGTAATTGAACCGTAACTATTAACGCCTGCACTACTAATTGGGAATAGTCAATGTGACTCAAGTTCTCGAAAGGACATAATCCCGACAAAGTTAGCTTGCATTAGCTACAATGCCGGCTGATTTAGTTAGTATTATGTTCTTTCGGAAAAGTTGCTTTTTGAACGTACCGTAACCGGGAGTAACTTTTGGGACTTCACCATTTGTTGCGGTCAGGGTTTTTTTTAAAATTTCAAGGTCGTTCAATGCACTGGTAGCGTCAGGTCTAGACGGAGGATCCGGGTTCCAACATTTTTCGTATATCTTTACGTAATCCTCAGGCATTCCTGCTTTTGGCTTTTCTCTCGCGCCAAGACAAAGATCAATAGCTAACAAAGCATCACGTCTACCACCAAATGGCGGGAGACAAGTATATATTTCCCACATTAACACTCCGAAACTATAAATATCGGATGATATTTTATGCAAATAACCGGGAATACAGAACAATTTTGGGTCAACGTAAGGCGCTATTCCTCGAACTACAGATGTTCCTATTGAATCTTGAAGAGATTTTGAGAGGCCAAAATCGGCCAAAAGAGCTCTTCCTTGATGAATTAGAACATTTTTGGGGTGCTATACGATTAATAATATTTAGTGTATGTATTAGATCTTAGTCTACTACTAAAACTAATCTTAAATGGCAAAATAACAATGAAAGCTTACTAAATCTCTGTGAATTATACCCTTATTATGCAAAAATTCTAATCCTTTGAGAATATCTTTGCATAAATCAATCTTTTGATCTAATGTTAGCTCTCGAGTATTGGTATCGGTATTGGTACGACATTTAAGATAATCTTTTAAAGTGCCGTCATCTGCATACTGCATTACTAAAATATATTCTCCGAATACAGAACCTAAATTAAATATATTAATATTAATATCGAGTTTATCGTTAAACCGGTTATGGTATTTCACAATTATTATTATGCATACTGTGCGTACCTTTAGATAATCCGAAGTATTGAATGATGTGATCTTCACAACCATTAGATTTCTTCAAGGTCGCCAACTAGATGTAGAAAAAAGTATGATTGACTTATTTTTATACCTCCTATTTTAAATTATTACTTTCAACAAACCTCTCTGTTAAAATCTTTTAATTGTCTACGTTCTCTACGACTAACAAATTTTGCTGCTACAAGTCGTCCTCTCCATTGTGCCTTGTGAACCTTACCAAAACCACCTTCTGCTATATATTCTGTTATTTTTAAGTCGGAGTATTCAATATCACAAACAGGTAGTTCATTAATGGGGATGAACGAAGGACCTAAATGATTCGAAGATTCTAAGGTTGTATTATTTTGTGCGGAAGGTTGTATTGTGTCGTTTTGAGGTTCATCAATATTTATTTCTATATTTTGCGGATTATCCGACATATTGCTTTGTAAATATCTAACTGTGCAGCAAAAAAATATCCAATATATGATGTATAAAAAGTGATATAATTCAGAATATAAAATAAAAAATTTCTTGATTTTTACTAAAGCTACAATTAATTCTGTTAAAATAGATTTTTGTTTCTAAATTATCTCAAAGTTTATACATGTATAGTCGAAATTTTGCGCCTAATATACAAAAATTGTCTATAGGTTTTATTAACCCAATCAAGATCACTTTTAGAGAATTTTTTTTTTGTCGCGTACTATAGAAAAGTAGTACAGAGTTCGTCATTTAATTACTAGATTTAGATAATTTGCAAGGTTTCACTTCTTTTGAACTTATTGTTCTTAACGGGAAAGTTTAATGGTAAAATCTAAGTACCCACCACTCAAAATAGAAATGATCGTCATTGTTTATATATTTTCAATATTTATATTGTTTTTTTTTTTGTACGTATCTAGATCATGTGATGATGAAATCAAACCATGAACTCGAAATCACTTGTAAATGACCTTATAA